GACAATAATGGATGTCAACTTGTAAATCATATTGTAGCAGCACCTGTTTCACTCTGGAGGAAGCATTCCAAGGTCCCCAGTGGATGGCTGAAGTCACCAACATCACCAACACCTTTATTATAAGGGGACTTCAAAAGTTTGTGGAAAATGCAATTAAAAGATACATTTATTCTGGTGCAAAGAATTTCATGCAGAGTTTTTTTCATATTACACATTTTCCATGAACTTATTGAAGATCCCTCATAATGTTGTTTTTTCCGATAATTATATACCTATTTACAGTTTAATTTATAAATTAGGCATTACTAATAAATAAAAATTAACAATATTAACTAATAATAAAATAAAACAATGATAACAAAATACTGTAATAACAGTTATTTAAAACTTAGTTGGTTATTCCTAGAATTTTCCACTTAATATTTTTGGACAGCAGCTCATGGCAGATACTTGAAACTATGAAAGTGAAACCATGGATAAGGGAGGCACTACTGTATGCTCATTAAGAAAATCTATGATAAGCAAGTTGAGTTTCTCTAAAACTCTAATGCTAGAAAAGAAGAGTCATATAATAGACTTAAACCTCTTAAAATGACAATTTCTATTTTAAATTGATTAGTATAGATTCTAACTATACTCAAGTCTTCAGGTTATTTTGGTTGGCATAAGTTGGAAGGCCATAAAACTAACTTTATAATGGCATAATGGCTAAGTATAATAACTTTATACTGTATACTTTTAAAGGATCGCACAAAATTTTGATAAATCTACCAAGTATTATTGTTAGCTCATAGGTTCTGGAAAAGAGAAACACTAAGAAGTCTGAAGTTCCAAGTTGTAATTAGGCATCTTCTGGAGATTGAGCTGACTGATCATCTCACTATGAAAGAAGAAATCATTTTTGCTGAATTTTAAAAGAAAAATTAAGATTTTATACCATTAAATATAATATATTCATGATATAACATATGCTTAGGATATTGCCTGTCACTTAGTAAGTAGGCAATACACTTTAGTCATTGTTATTGCTGTCTTCATTTTTACAAAGAGTTCTTTTTTGTAGTTGGGCAGATATATTTTGAATTCTGGCCGGCCCTTCTATATATTAGTTCTCTGGATTTGTGCAGAGCACCTATCTTTCCATTCAGTTGTTCTATTATTGGAAAAGAGATAATGACATCTACTTTATATGGTATCACGAACATTTGCAAGGATACATGGAAATCACATAATCTGGTGCCAAGTATTTTGAGCCTCAGTAAATGGTAGCAGTGCGTATTACACAAAGTCATCACCTGATAAAACATGCAATTAAAAGAAATTTTGTGTAATTTACTTTTAAGAGGTCATTGATTAGGATTCAGTACTATTATTATTTATTATAAGCCAATGCAATCTTGATTCCACAGCAGATATCAAGAAAATTCACCCTTATTTCAGAGATTTACAATTACAGCATTATAGTGACAAAAATATTTCCTCAAAATGAAGAAGAAATATGATATCTGAGGTAAATGCCTCAACATTTATGCCTGTCCTATTTTTCATTGCACAGAACTTTCATTTTGCAAAGCTTTTTATGAATGTTATTCTTGATCATGAAAGGTTTTATGAAAGTGATGTTTTATAACAGATGGCTGGCTGGATCTCATAAAGTCAGGGTACAGAAAAAAAACCACATTTTTTCTTTCCAAGTGTATTAATATACAAATAAAGCTTAAATGGTCAATGTGACCTTAAGAAAGTAAATAAAAAGACTCAACTGTCAAATTTATAAAATAAATACACAAATCTTCTCACTTCTCACTTACAGGGCAATGTATAACAGAAGAAGCTATTAAATCAACAAGAAATTTTAAAGAAAACTGAGTGAGGGAGTAAACCATCCTAAAGTTAGATATGCACAATCAGCTTAAAATAAGTGGTAAATAATTATCTACTTGGCTTAATTATCAAAAAGTATGGCATGGCTTAGCCAACCTTTTATCATTTTGAAAGCTTATTTTGGAATTGAGCTATTGCTACTAAATTTGGGCCAGGTATGTGATAATATATTTTAATTTTAATAATTGCATTTAATTGCATTAATATCAATTTGACAGGAGAGATTTTTGTTATTGCTTTTGTGAAGGTGGATACATATACCTATACTCATTCTAAGTCAATTTTTAAAAAAGGTATCTCTAGCACGGTTCAAATAAACACCTTTATATAAAGATCTGAATGCACATTTCCCACTATAAAACTAAAATATACTAAATTTATAGTAAAATTATAAAAGGAGAAAAGATGAAATGTGTTCTGTCTCTTCAAAAAAGCACTCACCATTATTAAACTCATAAGGCTACAAAACAACATTCCATACCATAATTAAGATAAAATGAGTAAATACGATCATAGAAAAGATGGTATTGAGCACTATGAATTCAAATTGTCAAGAAGTAAGGGAAATAGGACTTAATCTAAGGACACTGAAATAACTGAAGATGAGGAAGTTACCAATAGTATTAACAAGGAGCTGACTTTATGATTTAGGAATGGAAGCTCAGGAGGCAATGAGAAAACCAACTTCACTGGAGTTGAGTAGGGACCAGGCAGTAAGATTCAGTGAACTTGATTACAGAGATTACAGAGTGGCTTTAAATTTGGCTTAGTTGGCTTTATGCATTCTTACAAATGAAGGTAAGGATCTAAGCAGATCAGCAACACAGTCATCTTTTGGGATTAGAAGAATGTAAAGTTATCAGTAAATTCTTAACATAAATGCTAGCTACATCCTCAAACTTCAAGTTTATTTTAATTTTTGTGTAAAATTCTCAGAGCTATTGGTTCAAATATTACATTTCAATAGGCCCTAGCAAATAATTCAAAGTATAAAACAACAATAAAAATAAATGCTCTAAATGAAAATATAACAAATGAGATGATATATGGTAAGGATGCATCTATTGAAAAATGTAGTCTGTTAGGCACTATGTTAACTCTATATTATCTATTATCTTCAATTATGACATCATCAGTTTAATGCTGATAATAGTGATGATGACAGTATTTCTCACTTGAACTAAACAAAATTGTCAATATTCAGCACTTTTTGCCCAACAAGTTCATAGGATTGAATCTAACATATGCCAACGATGGGAATAAATTCTGAACATCCAATATGTCATCTAATTCTTTCAGCAGCAGTACCAGGTGGGTTCACAATGAGGGAAGATGAGACGGAAGGGCACCATGTCTAGGATCAACTGGAAAAATAAGGGCTAACTGAATATTTGATCTGCTTCATTCTTAAGGCAGTTTATATCATACATATCTCAAAAAAAAAAAAAACAATGAAAAAGTCAAGGAAACATATTTTTGGAGTGGTAATATGTGCATACATTCACAGACATGATTGTAAATATGCATTCATATTTTGCAAGTATGTATTCATACATTCTGTTATCCACGTATTCTCTGTAAAACTACACACACACATACTACTGTCCCTTCCTCTGATAATATTTCCCCTTTGAAATGTCTCCTAAATTTCATGAGAATATTATACTCATTATAGGGTTATGTGATGGTTATTTATAGTCCATCAATGAATATTCCCTTCTTTATGACTTATTTAGGCAAGATGCAATATGATACAAATTTAGGCATGGATCCACAAAGAGAGAAAATGTACATAATATAATTCACCAATTAATTTATCTTTCGTCTTCATTGACTATTGGTCTCTGGATTATGATTATAAAAGTAATAATGTTATTCTAACAGCCTAGATATGTATGTACTTGTTGCTAGCATCAATGATCAATTCAGTATAAAGAAAAATGAGTTACTAAAGAAATAGCAGTCTAAAATAAATGTTCTAATCTAACGCCCCATTTTCTAACTGGCAGTGCCAGAGTACATCTGCAGCTCTGTTGCCCATGTGCATGATGATGAGGACATTATTTATATACCCTCTAGCTGGTTCATAACTACTAAGGTCAAGCAATTCAAATATTTTATGGTCAATTCTCCTGCTATTTTCAACTTACTGTATTTTAAATTCCTTTGAACACAATATAATTGACTTACCATATGTTCATTGAATAAGAGCTTTTTATAGCAAATATTTTAATACATCGTGTTAAAAAGGGGGAAAATGAAGCTGTATAGAAATTAATGGACAAAAAATGCCCTCCACATTTTCATAGATTTTATAAATGCGTTTTAGTAGATTACAGATTCTATGAAATATTTATGTACTTGCCTGACAAAGTTACATGAGACAGAATGTGTTTCAATGACTGTGGCCAGAGCATTAAAAAGGATTTAATCATTAAAAATAAACATTATTATTTATAATTACATGAAATCAATTTGAAATAAAAATTTGTAAATGAAACAATCTCTGTAGTACTCTCTGAATGTCTTTTCAAAGGTTAACATTAAGACAGCACTAGAAACAATTTTATACAAATAGAATTCATCCTCTTCATAAATTATTCTACAGAATAAAAGCTATAAACTTAATGATCTATTATAGACACTTAAAATATAATATTCTAGAATAGATACAGTTTAGAAACAAGGGTAGAAATGAATGAGTAATGTAATTCAAAGCATAAAGATATTTGATGCTAATTTTAGAAAGATTCACAGCAGGTTGAATAGATTAAACATTTTGCATAGAAAAAGTCTGTTGATGCCTCAAAATTACATGCAATAAAAATATGAACAGCTGGCTCTCTTTTATTGGTTTCCATGCAAAAGTGATTATTTTCCACTAGGTAATTACTGATTGATTTATTTCTCATATCCATTTGCTCACATTTTAATGTTTCTAACTACTTAGCAGAGGTCATCCTTTGCAAGTAAATGCATTTGAAACGCTACAGTCACACTGATGATAAATGAGTCAAATTTTAATACTTTTTAAATCATTGCTTAAATATATACTGCATTCAATTTTTCCAGGGCAATTAAAACAAATAAAATAGAAACTCATAGATAATACCAACCATGATAACTGAGCACAAAAAAGCCACTTGTGGTGAAATCACTGTGGAATTTGATTAGAATCTGATTTGAAGTGCTGTAGACAGATTCCAGTGCAGTATTACCACTGAATTGACCGATCTGAGGTGAGTTTTGGTCTGGTCCATCCCTATTACGTAGGGGTCGGGAAAGAGGAAAGATTGAAATTGATGTTTTTAGAGATTTTTACACCAAATTTAATGAAAGTATTGCACTTATATACTTTTATAATATATAAATAATAAATGCAAATAGATGAAATGGCCAAGAATGATAAATCAGATGGGTATTTTATATCTGTATGGCTGATAATATACTATGACATAAAATGTAAACATAGATCACACCTTTACATAAATGAAATATACCCATATTAGATTTAATGAACAAATTGTCTTTGGCTTTGATCAAGATTCATTCTGTTAAATGTTCTCAAATGAGGTTTGTCCTTTCATTTTCTTCAGCAAGTATCTTGAGAATTACAGACTGTTCACATTAGAAAAATTTTCAAAATTTATAAAACAATTTAATTGAACTGTAATTTATTAATTCAGACATTTTCTTCATATTTTAAAATGAAGATATTTAAATAAACAAGATAAAATACAAAGATTTTCAAAAAGTTAATAGAAATTATATATTAAGAAAAACTCGAGACTGGATTTCAAACTTTTTTCATCATAATAAGCATGTTTTAATTTCATTTTCCATTAATACTTTATAACATTTTGATAATAATTATTATATTAAATGCTACATTAATTCTCTTATATTGTGCCAGTTTTTGTAAATGAGAACTTTCTTCTTGTAAACTTACTTGACTAATTCACTGTTTTAGCATGTTAACTTAATAACAATTTGAAATTTTTTTTTTCACTTCAGAAGATTTTGCTCTACAATGTTTAGTAACTTCATGGGGTATTTAGGCCAAAACCTGTTCCTCCTGTTTGTCTCCTTCTGCAGTACATATACTGTCACTTAGTTACTCCACTCCAAAAATCATATGGAAATTTATAACATGATTTGGCATATTTTCTTTCCTACATTTTTTCAGTGTCATATACAGTTGAATCAACCATTAACAATGGTCCTGGCTTACCATACAGTAATAAAATCATAGATTGGTTCAGTTTGAAGGACAGTAAAATTGATGTAGATTCCATTCCCAGGAGGCACTCTTACAAGCCAAAAACAATCTTGAAAGTTTGGATATTCATCAGGATAACCAGGAGAATAAATGGTGCCATTCATTGCAGTTATATTCCCACCACAGAGAGCTGAAGAAAAAAAGTCAAAAAATGTGAAAAATAATTACAATATACTGATGATAAAGAAAATAACAAAGGCCTTATAACTCTTAAGTAGTATGAAATACATCTGGGTTCTGTTTTTACCTCAGTTGATATATAAAATAAAGTTGATAATGAATCCCAAAATACAATCAACTTTGATTTATTTTTCCATATGAGGTATGTCACCTAGTCTTTATTTTTTATTACCACTAGATTTACAAATTACATGGTCTTCGCTTTATTCAAATATTTTATATCAATGCAAATATTGTTTACCCTTTATCTAACGTAGAGATAGGAGAGAGAGAGAGAAAGAGAGAGAGAGAGAAAGAGAGAGAGAAAGAGAGAGATCCTTATAAAAGGATCCAAGCCCTTTTTATTTAAAAGCATTTCATAGAGGAAAGAAACTCCAAATTCAGTAGCAGTATCTGGATTAGTTATTATATAAAAATGAGTAGTAACTACATAAGCATATGTGTGTATGAGTGTGTGTGTGTGTGTGTGCAACTCCTGACTCGTACAGAAATGTAAGAGGAGCTCTAAAGTATTAAATATGTTTTCTCCCCGAGTGGAAAGGGTTAAGATTCCTGCCAATAATAATAAAAATCAGCTATCCATTATGTAGATCTAGGATTCATTTTTTAAAAACAGTATCTCAGCTGAGAGAGAGATAGAGAGAGAGACTCTATATTCCCAGTAGGAAGCATACCAATGGAAAAGCTTCAAAACAAGAGTTATTAATCATAATGATGTCACTTAAAAAATAGCTTCAAGTTAACATACCTTCACACCTTGGAAGTGGATGATTCCAATTACGACTGACTCCATGAAGGCATGTGAGAGCTGAATTTCCAATTAATGTGTATCCTGGGAAACATTCAAATGAAATGGTTTGACCCACAGTAAAATCATTGCCAATTACAAAACCATTTCGAAATGGGCGTGGATCAGGACAACTTTGCAACTGATAGGCTGGAAAAAGAAGAAAAGAAAGATGTTTTTGCCTTCTGAATTGCAGAAATCACAGGTAGACATTATTTGAACTTCCAAATAGATGAGGTGTTGCTTGTACTTAGCTGTAACTAGTAATCCTTGTTATAATAAATGATGTCAATCACAGTTTGATATGATTTTCTTCTCATGCAACAATTTTCATATTTGCAACATTACTACTATTCATAAAAATGCATCTGGTCTCTTCATACACTTGTGTAGCTTATTTAAATTAGAAATTTTAATGGGAATGTAAATTCCTCTTATAGTCAGAATTTTCATCAAATATACGCTGATTTCCTTACTCGAATGAAATTGCTTCCTTGCTATTTTGCAAGTACAAAAAATAAGCCCAATTCTTAATCTTTTTACATGTTTTACCAATTGTTCTCTAAAAGAAACAAACCATGATTTCCCTCTGTTGAGGTTCTCCAAAAAGTCATTTAGTAAAATAATGTACTAAGAAAACATATCTTATAATATAAAATAAACATCTTAATTCAGTTATCGTGATATTTTTGGCATTACAGTATAAATGCCTATTTATTTTTTCTATTGCTTATGTGGTTCTACATGATATATGATATCAAATCTTTGCTTGATGTGCTTATCATTATATTCCAAAGCCTTGCCCAATTGCCTTTCATACAGTTAGGTATTTAGTAAACATTGTTAAGTGAATTTTGAACCTATGAACAGGATACATATTCATATAAATATTTGAAATGTTATAATTAAGAAGCTCAAAATTGTATATGAATTAATACAATATAATTTATAGTAATTAAAGGGTTTTTTCCTATAAAGATTTTTTTTTTTTATTTAAAAGACAGAGCTAGAGCGAGAGAGGGAGAGACAGACAGATCTTCCATTTACTGATTCAATCCCCAAATGGCTACAACTGCCAGAGTTGGGCCAGTCCAAAGCCAGGAGCCCAGAGCTTCCTCTGGGTACTCATTGTGGGTCCAGGGGCCCAAGCACTTGGGCCATCTTCTGCTGCTTTCCCAGGTGTATTAGCTTGGAGCTGGATTGGAAGTGGAGCAGCAGGGACTTGAACCCACCCCGTATAGGATGTGAACACCACAGACAATGGCTTTACCTGATATGTCACAGTGCCACCCGCAAAGACAACTTTCTTAAAAAAAAAAATTTTATTTTTATTATTTGAAAGACAGAGTTAAGAGAAAGGTATAGACAGAAAGAGAAAGGTCCTCCATCTGCCTGTTTACTCCTCAGATGGCTGCAAAGGCTGTAGCTGAGCCAATCCAAAGCCAGGAGCCGGGCACTTCCTCCGGGTCCCCGCCATGGGCACTATGGCCAAAGGATCCCTACAATCCTCCACTGCTTTCTCAGGCACACCAGCAGGAAGCTGGATCAGAAGTGTAGCAGCTGGAACTCGAACCAGCATCTATATGGGATGCTGGTGCTGCAGGCTGGGGCTCTAATTCACTGCGCCACAAATTCAGCCCCCAAAGACTATTTTCTAACTGACCATTAATATTCTATAATAACCCAATCCTCCCCCAAAATTACACTTGATGTGGAATATACCACTCAATTGTTTATTAAAATATAACTTCAATTTTTATGGCTACAGATTTCAAATTAAGGAGAAAATTATTTCAAAGCATTAAGTGCTTACACTCTTAATTTTTTTTCATTGTAGTTAGTACTCATTCAAAGAACATATCAAAACCTAAAGAATTCTCCTTCCAGTTCAAGGTAAATGTATATTATTTGATTGTTAAGAGTTAGAACATATTTTTCTTTTAAATAGACCCTTTCAATTTTCAGTTCTTTCAAACCATATAAAGTAGGGTGTTATATTAAATTGCCCAATAACATAAATGCAGTAAAATGAATAGCTTTAAAACTTAATGTAATTCACAAATATTATCTAGTCATAATTGCATGAGAATATTTTAAAAAGCTTGTGGGAAAATAGAATCAAGTGTTTAATTTTCAGCAGAAAAATTTTGAAATGCATGCATAGCTATTTCATAATATGCATTTTCCACCAAATTTTTGAATACCTGCATAATGCATTAAGGCTCATGTCAATAATTTTAATATATTATCAATACTGCATTAATAATTGATTTTAAGAATTCATTAGCTTAAAATAGTTAATAATATTCAAATTCTGGCTTTATATCATTCACACTATAACATTTTGAGAGGCAGATGAAACATGAAAACAGAAAACAAGAAGATGAAAGCCAAATTTAAGGTGAATACCAAAGAGCTTAGCATAAGGACTTGTGCACTTTCTAGAGTATAACACAAATATGGTTCTGAGCCTTCTGGCCACAAGAAGAGAGAAACTCAATCGTTTACCCAGTCATTTTTAAAATAATTAATTTCCTCATATCATGGCTAAGTCTGTAATGAAGGATGGTAGAAATGATTCCTATTTAATGGAGAGTATGATGTGCAATGCAGCATCCTTAAATTATGTATGCAAGTGTAACACAAATTATAATTATTTTAGATCCATACAGTTTAGTGTTTATAGTCTCTATTTATACTACTCTCAAATTTCCTTTTGGGTAGGTAATTTTGACAAATTTTCCTTGTGTTCCTATAGTTCTAGGCACTTAAGATATATCAAAAATCCCAGTTCTCACAGTGCTCACATCCAAAAACAGCACATACTTAACAGTGCCAATAATTAATGCAGAGATATAATAAAATTGTAAGTTACTTTAACTAAAAATTTTAATCTGTAGAAGCATAGCATGTAAAAATATCATAACTTTAAATATTTAATTTTAACAGAATTTGGACTTTTAAGTTCTGAAGAAATGTAATAGCTAAAATGTACTAAATAGTAACAGTAATCCACATCATTGAGATATATTTACATGCGTTTTTATTATACAGAATTTAACACAACTTATCTGGTAGGTACCAGAATTAAATCCTTTAAAAAGAAGAATAAATGAAGCCTAGACTTCTTTAGATTGAATTAGGAGAATCAGCAATTGAACCAAGCTCTACTTGTGTCCAAACTCTGCAATCAAACACACAAGGTCATGTAGCAATTTTACATGAGCGAGAGGTATAATATAACATGATGAACATCATATTTATAACCTAAAGCAGTAGAATAAAATCAAGGAATGTCATATTATTTTCTATCAGTAATGTAAAAAGAGCATCTATATATAATATACAAGTATCATAAAATGACTTTTAAAAGTACACTCATTTAAATATGAAAGCAAAGATAATCTTTGATACCCAGATTTCCTTAACTGTTTTGCCTAGCTTAATTTAACTATATATGATTTAAGGCTAATCCAGTTTTTTTTCATGAATATGATTTTCAAGGGTCTCAGAAAGATAATGTTCTATTGTTATAATTGCTTGAGATTTGTGTTGATTAAAAACAAATCTTCCTAATTGAAGTTTGCCTTGGTTTATGTTCCTTTCTCTTTCTAAAACAGAATATAGAAAATACTTAAAGATTTTTAATAGCTGATTTGGGATTAAATATGCTTTTACTTTTATTATCATTCTTACCTTGGTATACAATGTGAAATCCTTGCTTGTTTTGTGAATAGTCACTGTGAAAATACAAACTGGTTTCATGGGTTGTGCTAAACAATGAAGATGGTATTTGAGGACCACTAAGCCGGCCAATAACAGTACTAGTTTCCGAAGAACCACTTCTTACTTCCAAGTAGTCATGTATTGTTTCTGTAGAAAAGTTTACAAACTGAAGATGTACACCTAAAGAACAAAATATAGACATAATACTGCTTTATTCTTTGATTAAATTCAACACGAACACATGCATAATCATATACTGTACTTAGATATGTTCCAGTTCGGGTCACGGTCACATTCTTAAGATGGCAAGATCTGGGTCATGCCTTTACTATCTGCCCGGGACAATTAACTTTGCTAAGTGACAACATGAAGGAACACTGCTCTCAAATCTTCATTATTTGTTACAAGAAAAAAAAAAATCTTTTGTGTATTATAATGTCACCATGTCAAAACTAATTAAGAAATTGATTTCTCATTCTTTAATGCCATTTGAAGTTAGATAAAGCATTTTTAAAGATAAAAAGTCACGATATACTGTATTATGTAGAAAGCAGTTTGAGGTAAAAAATGATCACAATATTTTATATTTAATATAATCAGGTTCCACAATGGCATAACATGTGAGTTATTCATTTATAAGAAATACATTAACTCCTCAAAAATATAATTTAGATGTATTCAATTTACATATGTGCTCTTTTTCTATGTCAGAATTTTATTGAATGGAATTAAAATCGAGTTATCATTGCCATATGGTTATATAAGCTCAATGGCTTCATAAACATAACTGAAATGAAATAATGAAATAATGAAATATCTCTGGAATAGAGAAAGTAATATGAAACACTAATTAATGCACATTTGCCTAATTCACTCAATACTCAGTTTTAGTAATTTGATGTCTTTCTTACCGCTACCATTCCCCAAATTATAAATATAAGCAGACACTTACTGTTTTCCTTTGACTAGACACTATGTTAACTGGTTTATAAATGCTCACTTATTTAAAGTTCATAGTTACTCATGAGAATAAGGAGGAAACTGTGAAGTGGAGAAGCACAATAGCATGCCACGTTTACACAATGCGCAAGCAGACCAGAAACTCAATCTCGGGTACTCTATTAAGCTTTTATTATTAATAATTATACTGGAGATCCCACGAGATATTCTATTTCTAAACGATAAAAAGAGTTTTGTGGACAAAAATTACTTTGGGACATAGTAATAATATGCTTTGAAATAATTTCCTAGATACTTTGGAAATGCTACTTCCATATGCAAGCCTCCAGAATGTTTTATAGTTTACTTAAAAATTTCTCGAGTCCTCTTTCCACAAATTATCTTACATATAATTGGCAGGATAGACATCCGAAAAAATACTCGAATGTTGAGATGTATTTGTTTTTCTTTCAAAAAATTATTAATTACTTGTTCAAATATCCTAGACTTAACATTGTAAAATTAACCAAAACTAAAAGAAAACTGGGATTATTTAAATATCAACAAATAAGAAAAAGTGGCTTTTGTATTTATTTCAAAATTATTATTCTTTTCAATGTTTAATAAACCTGTTTTTTTGTTTGTTTAAATGAAGGAAATGGGGCAGGCATTTGGTGGAGGAGTTAAAGACAATTCTTGGGAGGTCTGTATCCCATATCTGAGATCTTAGTTTAAATTTCAGGTCCACTGCTTCCTATCCAGCTTTCTTCTAACGTGAAACTGGGGAGCTCAAGAAATTATGTCCCTACCACCAACAAGTGAGACTTGAATTGAATTAGGGTTCCCAACCTGGCCCTGCCCGGTCTGTTGCAAGCATTTGGGGACTGAACTAGCTGATGGAAAATCTTTCTCTGTTTGTCTCTGTTTTCTTTTTTGTGTCTCCCTGTCTTTCAAATAAACTGAAAGTAAAGAATTTTAAAAATAATAATACATAAAGTTAAGGAAGTATTTGAAAGAGCTAAACTGAAGATGATGTTACATTGACACTGTTGAAAATATTTTTAATAATTTATTTTAAAGAAACTCATTTGGCTCCAGAGGTAGCATTGGATGAGGCTTCATTAGTAGCTAGTAAAAGACTTAAAAAGTACCCCATCCTGGTTCAAAATTATTATTCATTTATATCAGTGTTCTCTTTCTATCAGTGGATTTCCATCTTGTAGACAAAATGACACTCATTAGAAAGTTCCCCATGCATTCTTCTCTCAGTGGCCTCCTATTATTTTAAATCCACAGTCTGCCACACAGTGCTCAGGCTTACTGAATCTGTAGCTTTCTTATCTGCATCTTTCCTGCTCTATCTAGAATTTTTTTAGGCATCCTATAGACTTGTCTGCTTTGCTGGGCTGACTCATCTCTGCTTGTAAAGCCACAGAAATGCACTGTCCTCTGGCAATACTTTTCTATGTTTCCTAAACTGGAATGTACTTAAAATCATCTCATACTAAATCATAATGATCTCTTGTTGTGCTATGTAATAATAGCATATTTGACTCTGTCTCTTCAATGTGACCATAATTTATCTAGGACAAAGTCTAAAATCTGTTTCACTATACATATTTTTTCTAGATCTACCATGATATAACACATACTGAATATGTGTATACAGCAAAAAATTGTGAAAATTGAATTATTTGTTAATTTCTGTGGAACAATTAAATACATTCACAATCTGAGGCCTTAGAGGCTTCTTGGATATTGAGGTGCCTAAGCTTAGTCTTTAATGAATCAAATAGTCCAGAATTTCTTAATTGTTCTAAATCCACCTAGTTTGTGCTTCAAAGTGTCTATTAGTCCTACACTCTGTAATCTAATAAACAAGTCTACTTTCAACATAGTACTTCATTTAATTAATTTACAGAATAATGGTATCTGAAAAGGCAAGATGAAAATGCATTAGTGATATAAAGGTCAAAAGAATTTACTAAATGTAATGTTTATATAATAAAACAAATATAAACCACCAGGGATTATTAGAATCAGAAAACTATTAGGTGTGTATATGTTTAAACCTAAGATAGAAAATGTGTATCACTTTTCAAATATAAAATATAGCTTTCCAACAAAGAACATAGTATATTTAACAGATTATCAGAAAGTATCTATATATTAATTGGTAACAGCTACAAGAAAACTGTTATAAAAACTACAATATGTGAAATTTTTATTTAATTTTTCTTTTCTACACTGATCTCATTCAGATTGTATTCAAATATATCTACCATATTTTCCAGCAATCCTACTACTAGGTATATATCCAAATAAAGAGAAATCAATATGTCAAAGAAATATCTGTTCTCTCATAATCACTATAGTACTATTCACAATAACCAAGATATGGAATCAATTTAAGTGTCCAACAACAGGTGAATGAATAAAAAAAATGTGGAATAAATACAAACTGTTCTTAGGAAATTGGAATTATGAGATAAATTTATTTTGATGAAAAAGTAATTTTAAATTATTTTTAAATTATGTATTTAAATTAAATAAAATTTAAATTAGGTATTATTAAAATACATGTTTTATTTTCCTAATATATACTTTCCACAAACATTTTGAAGATACTTTTTGTATATACAATAGAATAATATTCAACTTTAAAAAATAATGAAATATTGTCATTAGCAACATGAATGAACTTAAAGGACATTAAGTGGAATAAGCCAAGCACATAAAGACTAATATGACATCATCTGACTTCTATGTATAATCTACAAACATCAAACTCACAGAAGCAGAGAGTAGAATGGTGTTTGAGGGGCTGAGTTAGGAGATTGGGATATGTTGGGTAAAGGGTTCAAAATTTCAGTTAGGCAGTAGAAATAAGTTCAACAACATGGTGACCATAATTAATAACAATATAATCTAGTCTTGAAAATTGCTTAGACAAGAAGTTTTAAGTGTACCACAAAAAGGTAACGTGCTAACTTGCTTTATCATTTCACAATGTATATATATATATATATATATATTATGTATACATTCAAAACATGTTACAGATATTGCCAATAAATATATAATGTAGAGAAAAAAGAAAAATCTGATATATATTCAATTATACAAGCACTCCAGATGAAATGTACTTGGCTAAAAAGAGTCACTCAAATTTCATCCTCAATTTACATATTTGTATATACTCCTAAACTATACTGTAATTTGTAAAGATTTATAAGTTCTTCTTAGGCATTGATATTTCTTTTAAAAGGATGCATTAATGAGCATTGAAAGTTCATTCCTGTGATCTTAGTATACATACCAAAACCTATAGGCAGCTTTATTGTCCACGTGCAATCTAAACTGCTAGGATAGTTTCCAGGAAAACCAGGACTAAGGATCACACCACTGAAATCTGACATAGCACCACCACACTGAGCTGCAAAATAATAGAGATCCAAAGTAAACCAGAGAAGTGAAATTATTTGCAGTAGTGATAAAAAATAAAATCATTTCAAATTTTCACCAAGTCTCCAAGTTAAAACCATTTGATATAAATTTAAATAATGTCAACACTCATTCATTAAGAGATAGTAATCAAGTATAACTGATTGGCAATGAATTTTTTCAAATAGCACAAAAAGGCATCATACTTCCTTCATCAAAAATAACCGCAAGTTATATCAATTATTGCTGAGCAAGTAATAGCTCATGTGAAGGGAATGCAATTGATAAGTACATGCCCTTTCCCACAGAAGGTAGCTTCACTTCTCTTCCTTGTGTATAATGTTTTGAATCATTTCAAAGATGCTATCATTTAGAATAAGATCAAGTCATCCACTTTATCAGTAAATATTGTATTCCAGAGGGAATATTCTTCACAACCTTCCCTCTTCTCTTCGCTCGTGGTGAGAAGACAGTAAGGAATTTTAAGGATAATACTGGTTTCCTTTTAAAACATGTGAAGGAAGTCATATCATACAGTTGGAATATGACCCCATTCTGCCCTAACAGAATCAAGGCAAAAAGCAAGAAGTATAAATAACTAACAGAAGTTAGAAATTTTAGGCAGAATTTATCAATGTACTTGTTTTGGAATCTCTAGTATATGGACTCATGACTGATGAGTTAAGCAAAATTATAAGAAAATTCCCCATTTTAGTTTTACATGATTAGAAAAAAACATTTTAACATGTATTACAGAACAGTTGTGTTTCAGATGCCCATTCTTTCCTCTAAAAACACCATTTATTATTTCATCAAAGGAATATATATATATGCATACCTGTTAATTATTGATTTAAAAAATGTCATGATTGCACATTGAGTTCAAAAGTTACCTACCAGAACACTTACTTGCAGTTTCATTCACTTAGTACTACTTCAAATAGCAACAGATACTAAATTTCTATGGTATATATCATAATGACTAATTCAGTAGACAAACTATCAATATTAAGTATAATGTCAATAAACAATTTTACTATTGTGAACTAAATAAATTGTCTATCAAACACATTTTACCAGGGAGGTATATAAAATCTTGGAGTCAACCTTGATATAAGCCTATCTTTCAAACTTGATGTGTTCAATGAGCTCTAAAGATACATCTCCATACTTTTCCATCATTTTGAATTCTCAATTTATCTATCATTAAAACAAAATGATTTTCAATATATATATACATCACTACTGTTCATCAATTCATTTTTCCCAATTTTTGTTTTCCACATATATTCATCAAAAGCCCTAATATATAATTCAGGAGTTAAATTTCAGTCAATCAAAATACTCTGGCAGCGCCACTTTAGTACATTTGTTTTGCTTTATTCTGAACTTTGAGTAAAAGACACAGGCTATCTTTCCTTTTCTTGCCTTCCCAATCCTGCTCCTATCTTTCTATTCTGCTTCCCTCTATCTCTATGGAAATGACCAGAAATTCCTATTCTGCATTGTCCATTGCACCATTTTGAGTAAAATCCCCAAATCTAAGAATGAAGGAGAGAAAGAGTAGACAGATAATGCAGCAAGAAGAAAAGAACGACAAACCTTGAAAACCATATGAAGGACTATATAAAATAAAGCATCTGCTATTAGCTCTTCACTCACGTCCATCTCCTCACTGTCTCTGTTATCCCACATACTCCCAAGTCTTCAGTGACAGTTCTGTGTGTGTTACCAGTGGCTTCAAAGGAACTCGTCTGTGCCCCCCACTTTTTGTTAGAGACATGGCCAAACCTTAGTCCTTGGGATAAAATTTTGATTCTTTTGTGTTATGTTCCCTAATATTTAACATCTCTTATGAGTTTTACTTTTTTCTATGAACACATGTGGCAAATTGCTTACTTTCCAATTCACAAAGCTGAACCTTCTTACCTGATGACTAGGATTTTAAGATATTTTCTGAATCAGCCCCCTACCTTCACTATCTACTTATAATATGATGTGAAATAAGGGTCAGGTATTTTAGTTTTCTACCAAATATGTTCCAATCTTGTTTTTCAGAATTAATAAAATAAAAAAGAGTAGTAGAAAGGAAATACAGATGTTGTTTAATTCTACCACCTACAAATTAATTGTATTTTTTCTCTACATAAAGATGTCTGTTAAACATAGATATATATATATATATATAGTGAAAATAGGATCATCTATGAATTGTTTTAAGCTTTTAATATTTAACTAAATATTATAATATTGATTCAAGTTATTCTCATTTTTAAAAAGTCTCCTTGTCATTGGATCCTTAACTAATTGCCATTTTCTACTATGATAAGTCTGGCAGCCATGTGTTTTCCAAGTTCAGTGCTAAGCACTTTAAACAAATTCTCTCGCTTAATCCTCACAGTAAATGCATGAGGCAAACATTATTTTATCTTACAGATGAGCACACAGAAACCCCAAAGAATGCTATGTTTTTCATATGTGATAGTTTTTCCTTGAGTTGAAATTTTAATATAGATGCACGTTAGTCTAAGTGTTCAATATGGCTTCATAATAATTTATTCTATATAATAGAACTAAAATGTATTACTTAATTCTATTAAAATATCACTTCCACCTAAACTTGCCTACTTAACATTATGTAATGAAAATGCATATGTAACAAAGTGCAGTAATGCTTCATCTACCTAAAAAGTTGGCATTTTAAAATAATGGATGATAGTAATAGGGTACTAAAATATAATACTACTATATAGTATTTAAATTGGTAAAACTTTCTAAAAGTAATTTGACAATATTTATCCAAATTTTAAACATAGATACTTGGTATCTAATGACATAATAAATCTACTTAAGGAAGAATTAACTAGAAAAGTGTATAAAGATATGTGAAAAATATTCATAAATTATTAAAGTATAAAAGGCAAAAAAATGAAACTGGGGCTGGCACTGTGGTACGGCAGGTTAAAGCCGGGGCCTGAAGCACTGGCATTCCATATGGGTGCCAGTTTTAGTCCTGGTTGCTCCTCTTCCAATCCAGCTCTCTACTGTGGGCTGGGATAGCAGTAGAAGATGGGCCAAGTCCTTGGGCCCCTGCACCCACGTGGGAGACCTGGAAGAAGCTCCTGCTTCCTGGCTTTGGATCGGTACAGCTCCAGCCATTGTGGCCATCTGGGGGGTAACCCAGGGGATGGAAGATCTGTCTCTGTCTCTGTCTCTGTAACTCTCAAATAAATAAAATAAATCTTAAAAAAATAAAATAACTAAAACAGAGTAGCTACACAAATTAGAAAATGTTATGTGCTATGAAGACATTTTAACAACTAAGCTTTTAAAGCATATCATAATACATAAAATTTTTAAAGTTAATGGCAGGAAGGAATACATTACACCATATATGTATACAGTAGAATCTCAAATATCTACTAACTTATATTAACTTATTCATTAAATAATATCTATTGGATGTCTGTTTAAGATAATAACTCTTCCAGGCACTGGGGATATAGCAACACACAAAATACATAAACTCCCCATGCTCTCATCAGTATAATGAATTTTATTTTGTCCTTTGCACTGTTCTTTATTTTTATATTCAATAGCATACACACACACCACACACACAACAATGATTGCATTCACAATCAATGATTAACTGTTATAAACAGTTTTACAACAGGTGTGTGTGTGCACTTAAAAACTGTTATAATGTGCCTTCATAAATTATTTATAGCATGAAAAAAAGTCCTTAAAAAATTCCCCAATCTAAAGTCTGAATGTTTTCAATGTAATTACTAACTAAATATTTCTACTCTTAAATGTTATTCTTTCACTACTTTCCAGGAGGAACTGTCTACACTGTATACAGATATTATGAACAGAATTGTGTTTCCCTAAAATTCATATGCGGATGTTCTAACTGCCAATGTGCCTTTCTTTAAAGATAGGGTCTAAAATGAAGTGCTTAAGGTTGAATGAGGTCATAATGGTGGATACTAATCCAATAGAAGTGGTGTCCTTAGAAGTTGAGAAAGAGTTACCAGGAATGTGACTGCACAGCAAAAGATCATGTGAACATTCAGGTAGACATCCATAGGCCAACAAGACAGGTCTCAAGAAAACCACCTGCTGCCACTTTGGTTTTGGACTTCCAGCTCCCCAGACTATAGGAAAATAAATTTCTGTTCTTTAAGTCATCCTATTTGGGAAAATTCTGTTAGATCAGCTCAAGCAGACTAATATAAGTAAAATCATTGTACAGACATGATAAGTCATGCAATTTTTACATACTGTTTTGCTTATGTTTTTTTTTTCCTATCCAGGAAAAGCTATCTTCTTCATCCACATATCTTAATTACACTTATGACTCAAAATTCTATAAACCTTATGGGATGACTATACTTCTCAATGACTTCAATCAATATCAGTTCACTGTTCCAAATTTCATCATATAGTTAATGATTTTATTTAACACTAAATTATTCTCTTATCAATTAATTTTATTCTCACACTCCAAATGATAAATGAATGTTTTAAAGGTAGAAATCCACCTTATATTTAATGTTCATGCTGAATAAAGGCCAGTGTATTAATGGTTGCATACAGGCACCAAAAATGTGGAAAAGAGAAAATATATATGTAGCAGAAAGAAATACCCATGCTTGCATTCAACATATTACATATCTTGGTTGCCTGTCACCATGAATGACATCTCATGGAGTGCCATGTTCCCTTGAGAGAGCCTTCAGGTTTTTCATTCTGGCCAAATAGTAAGCAATATTATATTCACTTATTTCTGACCTATGGGTATTTGCCCATATCACCCTGAGAAGATGCTGAGGAATAAAAAAAGAAATTTACCTTTCACTGATTTCTGCATTTTTATGCCATCTACCAATATTGTCCAAGTTTAAAAAAATGTATACAATTTTTAAAAAAGTGACACATCTTAAAATAACATTTCCATAAATCTTGATGAAGACAAAATATTTCATCACAGAAGAAACCAAGAACAGAGCAGCACTGATTTGGGACATTCAGAATAGTTAGAGGCTCTTTTTCAAACATGCCTCGGGCAGATCTGCAGCTGAAATCTGGAATGGGGCAGTTTTGCACCAGCTCTCTGGGTACATGCAGACATTATGAACAGGGTCTGCAACTGTTTGTGAAACATTGGTTCCTGCTTCCTGACTCAGTGTCCAATCCCCTTCCAAGTAATCAATCTGACCTCTGCCATAGCAATCATAATTTCTGACAAACAAGAGATATAATTAACAGCTCCCCTTACAGTGTGGCCTGTGAAACCAGAACCATTTTGTCAAACTTCAGAGCATATGATCAAGGCTGCCTTAATTTTGTTGTTTCTCAGATCACAGTCCAAATCAGCACAAATTAACACATCTTTTTTTTTTATTCTTTACTAAGTAAATTTTATAACAACATGATAATATAGGATGTATCTTTAGAACTTGATTAGACTTATACATTATTTATAGTCGTTTTAACTTACCCAAACAAATTGGGATTGGATAATTCCATCGTCTTACTGGTCCAGGCATACATGTAATGTGAGAATGGCCCTATGTGAACAAGATTATTTCAGTTCAGGAGACATTTACAAAAAGTTTAAATTAAACATAGCATAATGAATGATTTTCATTAAAATAGGCTTAAATATCTATTGTCACATTGAAATACACTTTTTTAAAAGCTTTCATTTAATGAATACATTTTTCATAGGTACAACTTTAGGAATATAGTGGGTCTTTCCCCCATACCCACATCCTATCTCCTACTCCCTCTCCCATCCCCTTCTTCATTATGGTTCATTTTTAGTTTGATTTTATATACAGAGGACCAACTCTATGTTAAGTACAGATTTCAACAGTTTACACTCACCCCCCCCACAACATATAAAGTATAGTTTAAGAGCAAGATTAGCAGTTAATTTTCATAGTACAACTCAATAAGGACGGAGGTCCTACACGGAGACTAAGTGCACAGTGACTTTTGTTGTTCCTTTAACAATTAATGCTCTTATTTATGACGTCAGTAATCACCCAAGGCTCTTGCCATGGGCTGCCAAGGCTATGGAAGCCTTTTGTGACCATAAACTCCATCAGTATTTGGACATGGCCATAAGCAAAGTGGAAGTTCTCTCCTCCCTTCAGAGAAAAGTACATCCTTCTCTTTTACTGGAAAGCTTAATGTGACTTACAATAAGAAACGTTATTATACATACATGTGACAAAAAATAAAATATAAGAAAAGGATTCTGGTAAGAAAGTAAGATTTTTATATTACAAACACAGTTCTTTCTTAATTTAAAAATATAAACAGAAGAGATTTCATGTATCTTATAGATATAATTCTAAGAAAATAACCATATATGACTTTAATATTTTTATCAAGACATGTTCTACGTTGATATTATAAGTGAAAGAGTAATATACAGTGTTGTTTACAATAAATCTCTGTTAGTATTAAAGGTGAGAGAGATTAAATATATATAATCACTGCAAATATCTTTCATAAAATACTGAAATAAGTCAAATTACATTACGTTTTATATTGAAGTATAAAATCTAAAAAGATCTAATTATACTTCTGAGACTAATAATTTTAAGGCTAAAATTATTAATTTTGAATTTTGATTCTTCCATGAATTTTCTTTTTATCATATGAAATAGTTTTTCATTTTTTCCCTAATTTCTTAATGGATCTGTATTTTAGGGAGATTATATGATATCATAAACCTGAATCCTGCTCTTCAAAACAAGACCTTCAAAAGAGGATCAATATAAGATACATAAACAGAATACACATTGCAAGTTCCCTTCCTTAGGAATGTACAACTGTAATAGATTTTCACTAATTTGTGGATTTTATTATAATGTAAGTTGCATTTAGCTTCATTTGCATTCAGCTCCTTTTTCTTCATTTTATTTTCAATTTTTTCACCTTACATAAGACAAAGCGAAGTAGTGATTGATTTTGCCTCAAAAAATCATTTTTGGGGTCCAGTGCTGTGGTAAAGTGGGTTAAAGCCCTAGCCTGCAGCTTTGGCATCCCATGTGGTTCCAGTCTGAATCTTATCTGCTCCACTTCCTAGCCAACTTTCTGCAGGGGCCTGGGAAAGCAGTGGAAGATGGCCCAAGTTCTTGGGTTCCTCCCACCTGGGTCGTGGGAGACCCAGAAGAAGCACCTGGCTCCTGGCTTCTGACCAGCTCAGTTCTGGCCATTACAGTCATTTAGGGTGTGATCCTGGGATGGAAGATTCTCTCTCTCTACTTCTACCTCTGTCTGTAACTCTGTCTTTCAAATAAATAAAATAAATCTTTTAAAAAATCATTTTGGTTACTTCTGAATAAGATAAATTTAGTCTGTTACTGAATTTTCTCAGTTGTATATTTTGTTAACAAATTGAACATCTTTTTGACTATGTAGCCCAGAATCAATATGGTGGTAAAACTGTGGCTTCTTCATCACTGATGCTTTAAAACATTCTAAAGGGCAGTGAAAATCAAAACTATAACTCTGAAATAGACTTACCTGAAGGGAATAGCCTTGATCACATTGGAAGGATACCACATCACCAACCATGTATCTGTCTCCAATTTTAATTCCACTGCTAGGAGTTTGTGGTTCAGGACAAGAATCCAAACCAATTGCTAAGAATATTTAATGAAAATAATCAAAATCACTTTCAAATAATGAATTCTTAAATCATGCATATTAAATTGCCACAACTGAGTATTAGTGTCAGAGAAATTGAGAACTTTTTATAAGCAAGTTTTAACTGTAGAGGAAAAGAGCAGTATACATTGGAACTCAAATATATAACTCTTTTTCAATTTTACAGTACCAATCATTTGTGTTTTTACTTTTTAAACTCCAAATCTAATTGTAAATGTAATGCATGACAATAATAAAAAATTCTTAAAACACTTCATTATTTTGGCAATGAGTTTATTTTTCAATACAAAAGAATAAAACGTGGAAAATATAAAAAGGTTCTTAGAATGATTCACTTAAAGCCTTAAAAAGTTTTATGTTTTTTAACCAAAACAAAAATTGATATTTTAAAAATGTCAATTAGTAAAATTGTTTTAAGTTTTGGTAAAAAACATGGTTATTCCTTTCTCTAAATTCACATTTGAAGCTAATTTAATGTGTGTTTAGATGGGTTAGTAGAATTCATCACTCCAAAATCATATTTATTACAGTTCATAAAAACAAAAATATTAGAAAGTAAATCCTAAAGCAATAAAACAGCTCATATTCTTTCAGCCCTTGGCTAGGTTACTTTCCTTTTGCGGATGGGTTTGTAACACCATCCTCTACACTGTCTTTGAGGCACTTAACACAACTGGTAATGCATAAATAATTGAGCAATTACTTGCTCTACATTTATGTTCCCTGAAAGAATGGAAACTTCATTAAGGCAGCCTAGAGCACAACATCTTGAGGAAGTACTCCATAAACACTGTATGAAAAATGCACAGTATAAAAAGGACAGTGACCTGCCTATGTTGATTATTTATTAATAAATGTTAATGTCTAATTCTGAAAATAGGAGATTTTGTGGCTAATAACATAGTTGGAGTAGATTACATCATGCCCAAGTGGATGACATTTGAAGACAGAAAATGTCATGGAAGCAATGACTATAGTTATGATCAGATTAGAATCTAAGGCAGTAGAGCCAGAGTGAATGGTCATTTAAAGCTATCCTGTATGAGATAAAGAAAGTCTGTAAACTGCAATCCCAGTGCTTAGTGGTTTAATTAGACAGGTCAGAATGTTTTCATCATGCACCATATTTGTTGAATGTTTTTGATCTTGAATTCATGTACCTAGTAATAATTGGCTTCCCATTAAATTGTGACCTACTTAAAAACAACGAAGTGTTTGTGGCCAGTATGGAGGTTTGGTGTGTGAAGCAATACAAGCATCCCATGTCAAAATATCAATTCCAGTCTCAGCTGCTTTGCTTCTAATCTGGCTCCCTGCTAATGTGCCTGAGAAAGCAGCAGATGATGGACGTGCCACCGCGTGGGATACCTGGATATAGGCCTCGCTTCCTGGCTCTGGCCTAGCCACGCCCTGGACACTGCAGCATTTGTGGGGTGAACCAGCAGAGAAGATTTTTCTCTGCCTCTTTTTTCTGTCACTCTGCCTTTCACATAAATAAGCAAATAAATCAATAGTGTTGAAGATTTGCTTCTGAAACTAGAATTTGAGATCCACATGAGATAAAATTGTCTTTTACTTGTGTTAATTTCATTTATTACTCCTTAATGAGTGGCTTGTCTTTATATTTATTCTCTTATACTCTTATTCTCTATACTTTAAACTCATCCCCTTTTCAGGAATTAATATGAAAAAATAAGGTATGATTCAAACATATACATCTTTTTCTTATTTTTTATTTTTATTTACTCGACAGATAGAATTAGATAGTGAGAGAGAGAGACAGAGAGAAAGGTCTTCCTTCCGTTGGTTCACCCCCCAAATGGCTGCTACAGCCGGAGTTACGCCAATCTGAAGCCGGGAGCCACATGTTTCTTCCTGGTCTCCCAAGTGGGTGCAGAAGCCCAAGCACTTGGGGCATCCTCCAATGCCCTCCCGGGCCACAGCAGAGAGCTGGACTGGAAGAGGAGCACCCGGGACTATAACTTGTTGCCCATATGCAATGCTAGTGCCGCAGGCGGAGGATTAACAGTGTGAGCCACGGTGCCGGCCCCAACATATACATCTTACAAACAATATTTTCCCTTCATTTGGTACAATCTTACACTCTTGGGAGTTCTTAGCAGTACATTGATTATTATTCAACATTAAGGTTATTCCTGCAGTCATTCATACTGAGAAGGACAAATTTTGCACACATAAATTTTCTTTCTCTCTATTAAGTACTAAATTCAAGGTCATATATATAGAAAATTATCAATACCTATTTCTTTCTATAAGGAGAAGAAAATGAAAATGGAAAATGATATAAAATTATATGTTATATAATAGCAATTTTGTAAATTAAAAAAACATAAGTGAAATAACTTCAGACTAAAATGAGCAAAAAGAAATATTTAAAATAATGGTTTTGATTCTTACTTAAAAGATTATTTATGATTTATATGTTCTTCCTTATATTTTCTTGATTTTAAAATTTTCTATGTAATGAAATATTTTTGAACATGGCAAAATAATTTTCATTAAATGAATTTTATTTACAGAGAATTTGAGGGGTACAAGAACATCTTCTCTTCTATTTTTATAGAAGAGATTGAATTGGCCTATTAAATCTCTGTTGAATATGATTCCCTCAGGGTAAAGTTATGAGTTAATCAGATAAGCCAAAAAAGTTATATATTGACAACTTCACTCATTATTTTGGGGGAGCAGCTTTTTTTTTAATGTGGAATAAAGAAAGTAAAACAAAAATAGCAAAAATCCATGTACTTCATGTTTTAAGCCATATCTTATTTATATAAATAAACTCTGAGTCCTTAAATATTAACTTCAAAATATCCACTTTAACAATCATGTTCTGCATCTTTCTACATAAAAAACACAGGTTATTTATGGGAATGGCAAATAAAAACAAGATTTTTGTAAAAATGTTACAAAGTCTTCAATTCTGCTAATCCCATGCTTAACAAAGGTAATCAAAATATTTAAGCTTATGAGGGAAAATATTGTATAATTATGTTCCTGACAATCAGAGATGGTATCATGGATGGATCTTTTTAATGAGATTGAATTAATTAATCAGTTACTAGAAACCAAGAAAAAACAGGGACAATTCCATATCAAAAATTACATAGAGTTATAGCTTACACAGAGATATACATAGTTATAAATTACATACAGATATGTCTCCTTCAAATTATTGTAGGCAGTTACCCTGGATTAAAACATGAAACTTTCATTTCTTCACATAACAAATATTTATTTATAACCCAAAATTATTTTTTTCAATTCTGTTTTCAAAGCTTTCAGTCTAAAGCAGGAAAACTTGCTAATCATATTTATCACTGATATTTTTGAGCACACATGTGTGTGTATTTATGTACATGAAACAAAATTATTGGTTTGTATTGATGTCAGAAATGAACAGGAGTTGAATTTGTCTTTGCACAAAAGGTTGTATTTAGTGAAAGTGAAGATCTCATTATTTTAAATATATTTCATGTTTAAAATTTTATTTTTATGTAAGTGATAGATACAAAATAACTGTTAATTCTGTGTTTATGCTGAGGGGCTTGAAATCTATACCAGAATATTTACTATTGTAAAGATAACAGTTTAAGAATAAGGTAGACATTCATGATGATCAAAGGGTAAATTCAATGAGTTTGTCTATAAGTTTGAAGACTGATTGAAAACTGCCTTGCTAGGCACACAGACCTTTTTTCTGGCATACTATATCTCAGCATTAATTAGTTAATCTACTAAACAAATATTTGTCAAATACTATTTATAGCATGAAATTTAATGAATGTGTGTGGCTAATCAGACTTTTTATAGTCACCGATGGGCTTCAGTGTTTGGGGAATACGTTGTGGTACAGGTTTCACCCCTATTTACTTTTACCCTTATATTTTACTTATTTATTTTTGATGTTTACCCATAACTGGTGTTTATCTTAGCATCATGCTAATAAGTAACTGAATATTCATTAATACATACTAATTATCAAATTTTAGTCTACAGAATAATTCTGTTACATAAAATGTTAAATATAATTGCAACCTCTAAGTATTATTTATTCACTACACCAGCAATTAGTGAGTTTCTATTGTGTGCTGAAAATAAAAGTAGATGCTAAAAATAAAATATTCTATTGGAAATGTAAGCAACCATGCTCTAAAGAAACTTAATGGAGCCAGCAAGGCAGTTACTTTAACAGTTGATTAGATTGTAGTGAAAAAATTAATAAATGATGGTCAACTTTTGTCAAATAATACTTTCATAAGAAATAACACATGTCAATATTAAAAAAACAAATATTTTACCAAATCATTATAATGAGTGGGAAGTTGGTTATGAGGATCTAACAGAGAAAGTGACATGTCAAATTAATGGAGTCCTTTATTTCTCTTTTATGGAAAGGAGAGCATTTTTGCCCAAAGACTAATGTATTGTTCTAGGGAAAGTAGAAAGAAATGAAGCTGAAAAAAGAGGCAGAAAATAGATTGTGTAAAATCTGAACCTCTTAACCGATGCTAGGTGTTATAGTTTCCTTCTGTGTCTAATGCAGAAAAAAATTCATGGTTTAGAACACAAATTCTTATGTAAAGCATCTTAGTTCCACTTGTTGCATTTTTCTTATTAAATCTAAGATGTTTTCTGCACCTCAGTTCCCTACCAATAAAACTGGAATAAGAAAATACCCACTTCATATTCAATTTGTGATACTTTATATATATATATATATATATATATATATATATATGTATATATATATTAAAAATAGTGCTAGGGATCTGGAAAGTGCTCAGTAAATGTTAACTAACACCATTATTAGGGTTTCAAGCATGAAACTGGGAATATCAATGTTTACTTAGATTTCTAACTGTTAAAAGACATTTTTCCTTTGTTATAAATGTATATGTCTTTAAGATAAAAAGGTTTTACATAAATATTATAGAAATATTTATATAAAGCA